CTGCAGCAGCAACCGCAACGCTGGGGGAGGGGGCAGCTGGTGCGACACAGGCAGCACCAGCTGCAGTGTCTGTACAGCTGAGACAACGCCACTAACAATCTGCAGCAGCAGAGCCAACCCCCGCTGCGGCGCAGAACATAAACAAAAAAGCATACGAAGGCTGCATGATGGTGCTGCTGCTGCTGCTGTTACTGTCGTTGCTGCTGCAGCGGCACTGTAGGAGGGAGTTGCTGCTGCAGGTGGTCTTACCTGCTGCAGGACTGAGGGCAAGCCCGAGCGGCAGCTGGCAGCAGCAGCACCGCTGACTCTGCTGCAGCAGCTGCAGCAGGCCTTGGATTGATAGTTATCGATTGCTGGGTTTGCTGCGCAGCAGCAGTTTTGTTTTTGCTGCTGCAGCAGCCGCTCCAGCGCCCCCTGCTGCTGCTGCGCGCTGCAGCACTCCAACAGACTCGAAGCCGTCAGCGGCTGCATCCCCGCCAGCAGCGCCCCCTCCAGGGCCCTCGTGCTCTGCTGCAGCAGCAGCCGCCCTGCTGTTAGCCAGGCCCCCACAACGTGCTGCAGAAAGGAGACACACAGAGAAAGGAGACACACATACACCCCACGCAGCTGTGCAGACTCACCAGCCCCCCATACACAAACGTTGCCCCCCGATAAACTACTACTACCACTAGCAACAGCAGCAGCAACAGCAGCAACAACAGCAGCAACAGCAGCAAGCAGCAACTGCAGCAGCAACAGCAACAGCAGCAGCAGCAGCAGCAAGCAGCAACTGCAGTAGCAACAGCAGCAGCAGCAACAGCAGCAGCAGCAGCCGTACTCGCAAGTCTGTGGGCGTGCGCTCCCACGAGGGGAGATGCCGCATGAGGCCCACATAGAGGAGGGCCTCTTCTGCATGCGCGAGGGGGGTCCCCTGCAGCAGGACCCCGGAGACAAAACGGAGACGGGGCAGCAGCAGCCGCAGCACCCCAAAGGCAGCTCGCACTGTCTCCTCCGAAGCTCTTTGCTGCTGCTGCAGACACTCAAGGACCTGCTGCAGCAGCTGCAGCACCTGGCAATACGCGAGGTGCGCAGGGGAACGCCGCATAAGAGTTGCTGCTGTTGTCCCTTCTGCTGCTGCTGCTGCTGCTGCTGCTGCTGCTGCACATACTATGTCATATGGAGACCGCAGGGGCCTTGCTGCTGCGTCTCTGTCAGAGCAGCTGGAGACAGAGACAAGAGACAGCAGCGGCTGCTGCAGCAGCAAACGATGGAAAAACCCTTCTAGCAGCAGCAGCTCAGCAACGGGAACAACCCTACCTTGAGCTGCTGCTGCTGCTGCTTCTGCTGCTGCTGCTGCTGCTGTTGCTGCTGCTCCATTGCTGCTGTATTCTACGCCGCTCCGGGGGAGACAGCAACCGCTAGTCAGCAGATGAGATAAGAAGAGGCACTGCACCCCAATGGCCCTGCAGCGCTCATACTCCTCGCGGCTTCCCTTTGCTGCTGCTGCTGCTGCTGCTGCTGCTGGTGCTGCTGCTGTGTCTCGACCCAAGTGCAGCAAGAAAGACAGCGGCGTTCCGGCCTCCGCTGCTGCTGCTNGCTGCTGCTGCTATAGGGGGAGCCGTAGGTATACAGGGCAGAAGCCTCAGCAGCACACCGCTGCAGCAAAGCTACTAAAGCTGCGTTGAGTGCAGCAGCAACTTGCTCGTGCGCTGCTTCCCAAGCAGCAACAAGTGCTTCGGGGCGTGCTGCTTCTGCTGCTGCTGCTGCTGCTGCTGCTGCTGCTGTTGGGGTTGCTGCTCCTGATGCAGCCAGAGGAGATGGGGGTACGAGGCTCGCTGGTTTCTGCTGTATGGATGCACTCTGCTGCTGCTGCTGCTGCTGCTGCTGCTGCTGCGTTCCATCGGCAGCAAGTGACATCTGGCGGTGCTGCAGCAGCGCTGCTGCTTTTGCATGCAGCAGCAAAGCACTAGCAGCAGACAGCAGCGCGGGACTGAGGCGTTGTTCTACCACAAATATGTTTTGTTGGTGGCTGAGGAGTGCCCCCCCCTCTGCTGCTGCTCCGTCTGCTGCAGTGCCTGCTGCTGCTGCTGCTGCTGCNCTGCTGCTGCTGCTGCTGCTGCAGCACGCAGCGTCAGCATCCTGCTGCGCCGCACGCACAGCAGCAGATTGGAAAGAAGCTCAGCTAGGCTGCTGCGCCACCGCTGCCACAGCAGCATGTCTCCCTCTTGTCGCTGCTGCTTCTTCCTGCACCCTTCTTGCAGCAGCGAATGCTGCTGCTGCTGCTGCTGCTGCTGCTGCTGCTGCAGTGCTAAGTGCGCCCACACGCCAGAAGCTACAGCAAAAAAGTCAGAAGCAGCAGCAGCCAGACGCAGCAGCTCCTGCGGGTGCATATTCCCTAGGTCTCGCCCCAGCTGCAGCAACAAGTACTGCTGCTGCTGCTGCTGCTGTTGCTGCTGCTGCGTCTCCCCAGTCAGCAGCGCCTCATGCACTATGGCTGTTACTGCCAGTGCGCCGTTAAGGGCTGCACACAACAAGCTGTCTGCTTGCTGCTGCTGCTGCTGCTGCTGCTCCTGTTGCTGCTGCTGTTTTTGTTGTTGCTGCTGCTGCTGCTGGTTGCCGGCAGGGCTGCTGCACAAGCTGAGCCACCGCAGCACATCCCTGCTTGGGACAGACAGCACACCGTCGGCGACTGGCTGCTGCAGCAACTCTGCTGCTGCTGCTGCTGCTGCTGCTGCTGGGTTTTGCTGCTGCAGCGGCTGCAGCAGCGTGGGCTGCACGGTGTGAGGCAGACAGGTGACGCCTCCGGGTCCGAGGAGCAGCTCAAGTGCTACGTGAGCTTTCTGCTGCTGCTGTGCTGTTGTTGCTGCTGTGTTGCTGCTGCTGCTGTTGCTGTTGCTGCTGCTGCTGCTGCTGCTGCCTGGAGAAGGGGGCAGCTGCTTGCTCGCACATATATCTGTACACCAGCTGGCACACAGCAGCTGCTGCGCAGCGCATGCAGCAGCCTCAAAGAAGCCCCGCCGCTGCAGCAGATCCTGTCTGTATCGGGGTACTGCAGCAAGCAGCGACAGCAGCGGCAGCAGCATAGACGAGAACGGTGGCCTCTCAGGACCAGGGCAAGCATCTGGGGGTCCAGCGCTCCTGCTGCTGCTGCTGCTGCTGCTGCTGCTGTTGCTGCTGCTGCTGCTGCAGGGTCGGGGGATGTACAGGGGGTATACTGCTGCGTCTCTGCATGCAAGGAAGAGCTGCGTGTAGCTCTGCAGCAGCAGCTGCTGCGCCTCAGCTAGCGACAGCCCCACAGAGGCCCTTGCTGCTACACCCGAGAGCATCCAGGGTGTACAGACGGACTGCTGCAGCAAAGGATGCTGCTGCTGCTGCTGCTGCAGCAGCGATGCTGGGCCTAGACGTGCACGCAGCAGGCGCTCTTGCTGCAGGCTGCAGTGAAGAGACAGAAACAGCAACTGTCTCCCCCGCAGGCCGAAGGAGACGCCGTACTGTCTCCTCCCGGCGAGGCACACGCTGGCTCTCTCTACATCCTGCGGCAGGCGCAGCTCACCAGCATCTTCAGGCCCCCGCTGCTGCTCGCTGCTGCTGCTGCTGCTGTTGCTGCTGCTGCTGCCGTATGCATCGACCCCCCATGCTGCAGCACCAACTGATGCTTCTGATGCATGCACCTCCCGATACACCTGAGGTGCCGCCTGCAGCAGCCCGCTCCAGCACTCTGTTGCACTCTGTAGAGGAACCAAACCCGGGTTAAGCTCTTGCTGCTGCTGCTGCTGCTGCTCTTGCTCCTGCTGCTCCTCCTGCTGCTGCTGCTCCTGCTGCTGCTGCAGCGGGAGAAGCGCCTCAAGCAGCTCGCGGTTTGAAGACAGAAACTCCAGGCAATCAAAGAATGCTTCATAGTCAGAGATATCGTTGCAGTAGCTGCTGCTGCTGCTGCTGCTGCTGCTAGCTTTGCTGCTGCTGCTGCTGCTGCCCTTGCTGTCACGTAGAGCAGCAGGCAGGAAACGCAGCTGCGAGCGGGCGATGCTGCAGAGGGACTGCAGCGCCCCACATATTTCAACTGCAGCAAGCAGCTGAGCAGCAGCATCCTCATCATCAGTGTCTTCGTGCTGCTGCTCTTCTGCACTGCTGCTGCTGCTGCTGCTGCNCTGCTGCTGCTGCTGCTGCTGCGGGTGCTGCAACTGCTGCTGCTGGGGCTGCTGCCGTCACAGCGCGCATACAACGGAAGATCCGCTGCAGCAGCAGACAAGAGCCTGCTGCTGCACGCAACAGCAGCATTCAGTGGTTGCATGCGTTTTGCTTGCAAAGAGCCTTGCTGCTGCTGCTGCTGCTGCTGCTGCTGCTGCTGCAGGAGCTGCAGGTGCCACAGCCCGCCGTCTTGCTGGCCCCTCGCCAGCTGCTGCTGCACGGAGCAGCAGCACCGCAGCTGTTCAACTGCAGCAGCAAGCCAAGCTCTACCACGACCCCAACACATGCGTTCCCACTGCTGCAGCAGCAGCTGCGCCATCTGCAGCAGCAAGCTCCACCCGCCAGGGCCTCGAGGAGTCTCTGTTGCTGCAGCAGTTCCGTCGTTTGCTGCCGCTGTGCCGCTTGTACTGCTGCTGTTGCTGCTGCTGCTGCTGCTGCTGCGAAGCGCCTCTAGACCCGTACTGCTGCTCTGCTGCCGCAGCTGCTGCAGCGCCGCCCGTGGCCTGTGCACGCAGGTTATCTGCTGCAGCAGCAGCAGCGCCAACCGCACGAGCTTCACCTGGCCCAGCACAAGACCCGTCTGCTGCTGCTGCTGCTGCTGCTGTTGTTGCTGCTGCTGCTGCTGCAGGACATCGAGCAGCACTTGCTGCGAGAACTGCACAGTGGCAGCAAAGGCAGAGTCCTCTCCCGTCAGCAGCAGCTGCTGCTGGCTATCTAGAGCTAGCAGGATGAGCTGCAGCAGCAGCAGCCTGTACTCTAACAGCTGCTGCTCCTTTGCATACAGATGCCGCAGCAGCCGACCCACAAGCTTGTCTGTGTACAGCCTTCGAATCCATCGTCTGCTGCTGCTGTTGCTGCTGCTGCTGCTGGCTTTCCCCGCATCCTGCTGCTGCTGTTGGTTCTGTTTGTCCTGCAGCAGCAGCTGCAGATCATCGGACTCAAATGCAAGGGCAGCAGCAAGACACAAGGCTGCGCTGCTGCTGCTGCTGCTCCTGCTGCTGCTGCTGCAGATGCCACCCCATTGGTGTATCCGGCTCATCGCCTGCTGCGCAGCTGCGGAACGGCCAGCTTGAGGCAGCGCAAAGAGCTGCTGCTGCTGCTGCTGTTTCTGATGCTGCAGCTGCTGCTGCTCGAGCAGCTGCTGCTGCTGTCTCCACAAGAGACACAGCAGCGTGAGGACGGAGACAGCTGCCACCTTAACGCGAGAGTCAACGAAAGCGAAGACAGACTGAGCAAACGTTGCAGCACATTCTATCGCATCGCTGCTGCTGCTGCTGCTGCTGCTGTTGCTGCTGCTGCTGTTGCTGCTGCTGCTGTCGCTGGTGCCGCTGAGGATACAGTCGCCGTTGCTGATGCCGCTGCACGCCAAGAGAGACAAGAAGTGCTGCTGCTGCAGCGCGGCCAGGAGGTCCCCCTGGTGGCCTGGGAGCCCGTCCCCCCCCGAGGGAGACAGCAGGCTGCCTGGTTGCTGCTGCTGCTGCAGCGAGAGCCGCAGCAGCTCTGTTGTTAATCTCTGCAGCAGCAAAGAAGAATTGGGGCTGCATGCAGCGAGAAGCATGTGGTGTAGAGCTTCGAATGCCCCCAGCACCACGCACTGTGACTGCTCTCTACAAGGGGCAACTGCAGCAGCAGCTGATGTTGCTGCTGCTGCTGCTGCAGCTCCTGCGCCTCCTGCTGCAGCTGCTGCTGCAGTAAAAGGCAGCTGCTGCTGCACCAGCGAACAACTCCAGTGGCCTGACCACCGGCCCACTGCAGTGTACGGGTCTAAGAAGACAGCATCAGGCAGCAGCGCCATGGGGAATTCATTATACACGAGCTTCTGCTGCTGCTGCTGCTGCTGCTGCTGTTGATGGGGGGGATGCGGCTGCTGAGAAAAGAAACCCGGCGTCGCAGAGAAGGAACAGAGCTGCGGCAGCAGCTGCAGCGGCGGGGTGGCCAGCAGCGCAGCAGCAGCAGCAGAGAGGCGAGACGTTGCAGCAAAGGAGGCGGCATCCATAGACCCATAGAACCGAAGCACAGGACAAGAGAAACTCACAAGCAACTGGCTGCCCTTGCTGCTGCCGCTGCTGCTGCTGCTGCTGCTGCTGCTGCTGCTGCTGCTGTCCCACGGCACCCGGGGCTGCACTGACCCCGCCCCTGTCTTGGCAACGATGTTGCAGCGTAAGACAGCGGCGAT